CCCATGGCATACATTAGTTGCTTTAATCATTTTCAGAACTTTATTATACTTTGGTACAAAGACTGGAAAGATTAGACTAGCCTTTACGAAACTAATGCCATTAAATGGAGTGGAGTCAGCTGGTGAGTTTCCATTTGTGAGAACCCCAGCTTCCACTATACTTTTTTGCCTAACACTTAGCGCTGCGGGGTGGTTTGTAGATACAATGTTCAAATCTTTTCCTCTGGAGCTTTATGTGCTGTTACAGAGTGCATTTCTCTTTGGTTTCTGAAGCCAAAATATGATTCTTTTTTGAGTATGGCTATGTATCATTCTGAGGAATTTTAGCAGCCAGCACATGTCCTTTCAGTCCCGTCTGTTTATCTGCCACAGTCACACTCCAGAATAATTTGAATGTCTTTGTACTTAGGTTATGAAGTTAAGCGCTGTAGTATAGAGCTTTGCTGCCCTCGCCCCACCACGAATACTGGCACACAATGAATTGTATCTCTCTTGAGAGTCTTCCTCAAAACCCATGAAGCAGGATTAGACAAGATGATCGAGACTGGTGTTGGACCCTTGTATTAAACCACCTTGGTGCACCTACTATGGACTCCCGTAGCTTCCGATAACCCTGTCAGGTTAGGGACATGACAGAGAGAGAACATGGTAACTTCTGCACGTGTTTTGAGTTCCTTCTTTGAAAACTAGGGCATGGGCAGATTGGGTATATGCCTATGTGTCACTCCGTGTGATGCTGGGAAACAGCTCAGACACACACAAAGACCCAGGAAATAAAACATACTCGGATCTGCTAACGTAGATGTAGCTGATGGGACTGACGTGACAAGCTGAGGTCAGGCGTGTATGATTCAAACACACAGTTGCCAAGACCTGGAGCAGTGGCCGGGCTGGAAGGTTGGAAGACAATCACTGAAATGAATAAACACATGAAAATCCCAGCTGCTTGAGGCATTATTCATTGCCATGAGTTATTTTTTCTTCCAAGAATGTGCAATTGGAATGAATGACTAATTGCTTCTCAAGTACAAACTCTGTATATCTCTGTAATGAACTTCTAGACAGAAAAAGGGAATCTGTCTTTCCTTTCCCTTTTATTACTTCTGTCAGATAAATTTGTCTCTCACCCCTCAGTGTCTCTCATCACTTTCTTCCCTCCCCATGGTTGTTCTAACCTAATACAGGAAGCAAAAAGAGCTAAGGAGAAAACAGGATCAGTAGCTCCTCCGCAAGTACACTCAATCATATTTCTCCATCTGACATCTGATATTCATTATCCATTAACACAGACCACAGGTTTATCAGCAATGCCTTGTGCCATGTCAGAATATCACATGTACCCTTCTCAAAATTAAGAAATCCAAAGTTAGGATAATGTCACTATCATGAGACCCCAAACTTCCAGAGATTTGGGATGGATCTGCCTAGATATTTTATTTTCAATGAGCTCCTCAATGACCGAAGGGTTTTAAACTGAAAAAGTCAGGTTTATATTAACATGTAAAATAGAATACTTAAGCTTTAAAATAAACTCAAAGAGATAAAATGAGGGTCAACAAAGGGTGGTACCAACAAGCCCCCTCTTGCTACCTGTGTGCTGGTAGAGACATGGCAGCCAGCTCAGTGGCTTTGTGAGTTGCAACGGACTCCCCATAATTCCTTCAAGTTCCTACAAGTTTTCTTACCTTTCATCCCTGAGGACTTTCTGTGTGTTTCTCCTCTCACCCTTCTTTCTCCTTAGGCTACAGGCTTCCACTCATTTTTGGCTGCCAGGCTGTTTTTATTTTGAAACTTTTCTTTCCTCAGTATATGCAGGTACTCCCCAGGAAAGGCGCACTCTTCTGCTCTCTCCTAGGTGCCCTATCTTTCTCAGGCACTGCCTTTTTACAAACTGAGAACAAATAAATAAAATTTATAGGGTCCATCACAGGCATCCATAACACATTATTAAACATAACTCCACCTCTTTGAGCAGGCCACAAATATGTAGAATTAAGGAAAAAGATCTAGTATTAAAAATCAGTAACTTCTAGAGTATGACGAAAAACAAGCAGAAATCTGCTTGTTATTTTTACGTAAAATGCTCATCTTCATGGCTCAGTGGCCTTCTCATCTCTAGGAAAAAATAAACAAATAAATAAAGGAAGACCTGAGTTAGTAAACATGAGATATAAACCCAGGAAAAGCAAAGAGGAATTTAATGAGTTACAGTTACTTACATAGGGGAAACTTAGGTGCTGAGATGCTCAGCATTGTGGCACCTAGCCTTTAAGTGCCTGAACTTTAGGAGAGGAATCCATAGTCCCAAGTTCAGTGACTTCCTTACATCTCAGAGAAAAAATCTGTTATTCTGTTACATGCAACTACAGGTGCCTTCAATGGCAGCATGCACCCCATCAACTATGTGCAGCAAACCCTTGGATCAGTCCTACTGTAGCTATAGTAAAGAGGGTCAACAGGAGAGTATGAACAACACAGGAATGACAGATTTCATTATAGAGAGCCTGAATCCAAACCTGATTTTTCATACCATCCTGCCTTTTCTCTGTACTCCCTGCTATTCAGAAGTGGAACATTCCTGGCAGTGTTTGACATCTGTGGGAGATGAACAACAGCATTTTACAAAACAACAGAAAACCTGGTGTCCCGTAGATTGCAAACGGCTTTAGATAGCATAATACACCTTTTCCATTTGGGGCAATATATAAATGAAAATACATTGTGTTTCAAAAACACCTATTAGGCAGTTCCGTGAGATGAAAAGAAGCACCACTTCTTCAGTGGAAGCCTGCGTGGGATTCAGAGGGGTTTTAGTGACACAAAAAAAGTGTGATGAGAACATTTTCTTTCCTGCTTTCTGGTTTCTAAGGGTGATAGTAGTGTTTCAGTTGTGGGTCCAAACATACTCGCAGTATCAATTTCCTTTCAAAAGGAAATTCCTTGCTGGAATTTAAATTTGGGTGATTCAGAGTGCAGAAAAAGTACAGATGTACTTGATGCTAGCCAGGGAGATCGTATGTCTGTGTCCCTGGCAAGACTTAACGCTCAGAGCGAAAACGTTCCTGTTTTTCTTTTCAGCGCTGAAGCGTATTCATGAGATCTGCATGACGCAGGAGGGAGAAAAGTACGGGTCAGGAGAAAGTACGATTCCCGTTCAGCTCTTGGGAGATTGCACCCGGCTGTGAGTAAGCCAGAAAGTAGCTCACAGAAAGGCTTGTGTTGGAAGGAGCGCAGCCGGCACCTGCCGGGTTTTCCACCCTATCCCAGCGTCGATAACGCTACCGTTTTTCATCACGTCTTCCAATATGGTATTTACTTCCTATAAGCGGCCCAGAAAAATCGCAGGGTTACATCAAGCTTTCGGCTGCGGTAAAAACGGTAGCTACATGGTCACACTGTACACAAAAACATGCGCTGTAGAAGCTGAGTCCAGAACACACGTATTGTAAAGCCATCGGGGACGGCTGCGGCCCGCCACACCCC